ACGGCCCAACTTCGAAAAGTTATGCGGCGAATGTGGCAGTGCCAACAAGAAAAAGTCACGAGCGAAAGGTGAGGGCACGGTGCCGCCAAAAGATAAGGAGATTTGTTTAGTACGCTGGATAAATGATTTGAGGGACGATTTCTCCCTCCGAGGAAGGGGTACCTGTTACTGCAACTATGTTACGCATTCCAATTCTAGAAGTAGCAGAGAAAGCTATAATCACCCCTTTTAATGCGTCGTGGTGCTGGCGAATACATGTATTAGTCTACAACAATAGAGTTTTTTATGAAAACTTTTGATAGACAGTTACATGCAATTGCTGGTCTATATGCGAACACTTTTTTGAATCCTAAACTATCAATGCTAGCACGGTATCCGTCCGTCCACCACACGAAACGCTCAGATTTTTTAGCCCTCCCATTGGCTGCCGAGCGAAGCGAAGGCGGCATTGATTGGTTAAAACTGAATTATGTAGCTTACTTCAGTAAATTCATGTGGTTCACAGAGCACATATGGAAATTCGACAAGACTATCCATTATCCGAAGGCGGCATCATTTTAATATTACGAAGATTCCTTTTTTAATCGTACATGCTGCTTTTAATATTTGAGTGCTAAACAGAGCTACTTATTCTCAAATGAAATAGCCCCTAAATAAGCTTCCTATGCTACAAGGTGCTTAGCGTACACGTAGGAATGCGTGCGTTCGAGGCCATACTATTAATATACGTAATACTGTGTTCTTAATAGTTCGTGCAAGAAACAATGACTAAAAGAATAACTACAACTGTTTTGTTGTAGAAATATTAAGAAAATACCTGAATGTGAGGTAGCCGACTGAGCTACCAAATAGTAGCATATGTACAACAGAAGCTGACCGTAAGAATAACGCTGTGCTAATAAACGTTGTCACTTGATCCAAAAAGATAGATAGTTTTAGATCGGACAAAACGAACTCATATGAGACTGCGCGAGACATAATGATACATGTACTAATCAACCATTTGGAGTTATCGAGATATTCGCGTCTAAAGATCGCCCACGTGTTTTCGCACTTTATCGAGTAGCTGAAAAAACAAGCGTCAAAGTTTTTCAGAAATTTGAAGCAGGTGTATCATTCCCGAACAGCGCACTCCAGCCTCGAGAATGCAGTGCCCCGAGACCGCAAGCAACACGACGGCACCCGCTCCTGCCGTCGCTGTTCCAGTGCCGCCCCCTGCTCTTCCTGTCCTGGTCAATGCGGGAGAGCACGGCCCCCACCGTGCCACGAAGCAACCAGCCGACACCAGGGCGCACACAAACACTGCCACCGCCGACCTAACAAGTATCGCTCAACCTACTGCTCCTCGTGTCGCTTTGCCCTCCGCTACAGTACCCCAGCAGGAAGGGTCGCCTGCCAGCGATGAATCAGATGAAGGGAGTGAAGACGAACAGGAGAGCGATGAGGAAGCTGACGACAGTGACGACGAAGATTGGAGTGACGACAATGAAGATGAAGAGGAAGACGAGGAGGCAAGCACTGGTGAGAGTGGTGTAAGCGACGCAGCTGAAGAGGAGGAGGACATAAGTATCAATTTGATTGAGGTGAGTCTGCAACAAACAGTGGCGGGTCTAATTCAGGCCGACAAGTGTGATCGCCGATGTCTTCAGGGAAAAGCCCAAGAACTTGAGTGGCTCGTGTGTTCAATCTCACAGATGACCAGATCAGAGAAGTTGACAAGCCTCTACACGATGCTGGGCGTTCTCATGCAGACGGATACTGTGGAGAGGCACCGAGGAGACGTAAAACGCGAGAAATTTCACTACTACCTGCCACTGGTTGGGAGAGTTTGCCGGTCCATGTTTGCAGAATGTCTCGGGGTAACTCCTTTGACTATCCAGCGATACAAGAAGCGTGTGCGCGAAGGAAACATTGCAGCTAAAGCGCACGGGAACACACTGAACAAGCACGCTTCTGTCATCGATCTCGTGTGGCTGGTGAAGTGTTTTAAAGAGTTCTCTGCGGAGGTCGGGGAAGTAGTACCAGTGCGTGTTCGGCTGCAGAAGACGGCGAATGGCACAGTGAAAAAGTACTACAGCTCTGAGATGTACACTTTGCTGCCGCCGACGTTCACGTGGGATGCGATCTATGATGAAATGCACACATACGTGGAGGAAATCGGGATTCGAGTTCGGGAGCCAGCCAAGTCTACTATGAGGCAACTTTTAGCGCTGCACTGCCCCAACATTCGCATCCGATCTGGCCGTTCGAACGTGTGTGACTTGTGTTCCATTTACCAGTCGCGAATGCGTGGAGGGGCTACCGCAGAGCAAACGGAGGAGTTGGGCAAGCACACACTGTCTGCTAGGGAAATGAGGTAATTTTGGATCTGGGATATGAGTATCATTTTGTTTTACTAGCAATTTCCAAGGTGGACACTAATATCATTTTATTTTGCTGGTGTATTTGTAGACAGGAATATAACAGGGATAAGGCTCTCGTAAAGACAACAGAGGGCAAGGACGTCGCAGTAATCGTTATGGATTACTCTCAGAATCTGACTGCTCCGTCGGTCACATCCACCCTGTCGCAATGGTACTTCTGCTCGTTGGTCTCTGTCAGTGTGTTTGGGATATACTACGAGAATGAAGGCAAGCAAACGAACTACATCTACGATGAGTCTGTCGGTGGGAAGGGAAGCGAGCAAATCAGCTCCACGCTGCAGCACTTTACCTCGACAATGTGTTGGTTCCTGCTGGCAAAAAACGATTGGTGATATACGCTGACAACTGCTCTGGCCAGAATAAAAATAACTACGTGATCAAGTTTCTGCTAGCACAAGCCCACATGGAGGTTTTTGAAAGCGTGGATTATAAGTTCTTCGTGAAAGGACACACTAAGAATTCATGTGACCGTGGCTTTGGTCATATTCGCAAGCACCTCGCCCGCACAGACTGCTGGACTTTGGTTCAGATTGTCCGAGAAGTAAAAGAAGCCGCTTCATCCAATGAAACTGTGCACATTTCACGGGACGATGGGTTCTTCAAGAGCTACAAGCCACTACTCACAGAGCTCTACAAGAAATTGCTTGGCGTGCAGCAGTTTCAAATATTTTCAATGGATTCCACGAAACCGGGGGTTGTGATCTGCAAAAAGGGCCCCACCAGCATTGCAGTGGAGAAGGATCTGCGTAGGAAGCTAGATGGCCATCTCACCGAACGCCACAAGGTGACGCGCATGTTCAGCAGCTACCTGGAGACGATGCCGCCGCCTCCGCGAAATGCAGATAAAATCGACCAAATGCATCGCACTATCAGGCCTTACGTCCCAGACGAGTATCAGTCAGATGCAATCTACGCAGCTCCAAGTAAGCAGCAAGGGGACAGTGCTAAAGTCGCCAAACAAGCTCGTCGAGAGCACCGAGCGGCAATGGCAGTGACCGCGAAAGAGAACCAAGACAAACGCGGTAGGCAGGATGACGAAGATCAAACGAGAAACACTAAGAAGCGAAAAGCTGCGTGCACTGGGGATGCTGTAGTGTAAGTTTGCCAAAATGTCCCGCCTAAATCAAAATGATACTGATGTCCATCACTAAATTTAGGCTTTTTTTTCAGATTATACACATGGGCTCACTCGGATTTGATCACACAAATGCGGTTTTAGACACTTTCTACTGCGTTTTAGCCGAAACGAATAGCACCACGCGATTCTACGGGCGATTCTGCCTCAGACACTGCAAAAAAAAAATGAAAAAGTTGGTCATCCACCGAGGTAAGTTTTCCAGAGGCTCACCACTTCGTCAATATCTCGTGTCCGAAGGTGTGCAAGGGCTCAAAACGAAGCCAAGATACATAGGTTTGTGTTGGTGCGCCTAAATCGCGATTCGTACCTAGGTTGATTAGTATACTTATGTTTCACGCGGTCTCATATGTGTTACTGCTGTAAACCATTGTTTTACAAGAGTTGTTTAGACAGCAAAATCTGATACTACACTTAACGGGCGGCGTCGCCGACAAGGGCGTAGGAAGCTATTTTAAACGGAGCGGTAAGACAACATCAAAACACGAGAGGTGTTAATTATAATTGGTTAAAGAGACCCCATAAAGAAACGTTAATAAACTTTAAGCCTGCATGACGTTTAACCATCCTGGAATCATCGTTACACTATAAAAAAACACCGCCGATAACAATAACAACAGCAAGGCGTCTTGCGACGCATTATCCAAATGCTTTATTCATAACTGACACATATTAGAGTGTCTAATGACTTCTTCTGAATCAGCACAAATTGAGCGCTAAATGCATTAAAATGTACAAAATTGATGTTTTTAGCTATGGTTTGAGAGGTGAAGAATCTTTAGTTACTTACAAGATTTAACAGCAGTACAAGCGAATATGTAGTGCAAGCTAAACACGCCATTACTATCGTCTGCGTTGATGTGAGCTAGGTTTCATGGCTCAGAAACGGCCCGTGGTATCTAGACATGACGCTAAACTAAGGCAAAGTGTCAGTTTCGTAGTCCCGACCAGTTTAGTAGCCTCGATCGTTTTAGCCTGTTATATTAAGCTAGATCACTGTCAACGATCGTAATTGGCTAGTATTGAGCTAGCGAGCTTTCACCTAGTCTCCTCCAGCAGCTTATACTGTACTCTGGCCACACTTTCGTTTCTCCACCATGGGGAAAATACGCGCCAAGTACAGCGAAGCAGAGCTCCATTGTGCCGTCCAAGCCGTTCTCGCCGGCGCAGAGCTAAAGACAACAAGTAAAGAGACGAAAATCGCGCATAGCACACTGAAGAAATACGTGGCTGCTGCACGCAAGAACAATCCTCACGAGCCCAAGCGTCGAGGGCCGCCTCCAATGCTTTCGAAGAGTGCCGAAAATGGCATTAGAGACTGGATTCTTCAGCGACAAGTGACTGGCCATCCTGTCGGACGGAAAGATGTCTTGCACAAGGCACAGCAGATTGCTGAGCTCGTGCGTGGTATGGGTGTAGGTGAGGGGTAGTTGCGGCGCTTCATGCAGCGCAACCCTTCCCTTTCACTAAGAACGTCACGATCTGTGACCAAGGCGCGCAATGAAGTTGAAGAAAGCGACCTATCAATACTATTTTCGTCGCTAGCCAAAGTGATTATTGAGCTCAATATGGGTGCTGCACGTGTAGTTAACGTGGACGAGACTGCTATTGAAACGAAACGAGAGCTCAAGCGCGTGATAGCAGCAAAGGGGTCGAAGAATGTATGGCACAGTGACATCAAGACTCATTTTCACCTAAGTTTTGTTGCGTGTGGCAGTGCCAGTGGTTACGTCGCTCCTCCTCTCTTTTTTTCCTGGTGAAAGCGTCAGTGGCGACATTTTTGACACTTGTAGGATCCCCGGTGCAGGGGTTGCAACCACCGAAAAGGCATTCATGACTGGGCATCTTTTTGCGCGCTAGTTACGATTTTTTGGCGACGCGGTTCCTACACCAATTATGAGGCATCTGCTTCCTGTAATGGATGGGTGTTCTTCACATATTTCCCTCAAAATTGTGGACGCTGCTGCAGAATGTGGAATTATTTTGGTGTGTCTACCACCTAATGGAACGCATCTTCTTCAACCGTTAGATGTAGCGGTGTTTTCGTCCTTCTAGAACAAGCTAAAACTGCTGGTAGAACATCTACTTGAAGGACCCTGTACGGGAAGCATTGACAATCAAAAAGCCCTAAGCTTAGCGGCGCTAGCATGGGACCAACCGCATCTTGAAAGTAATATGTCTGCCGGATTTCGTAGCTGTGGTATTTTTCCGCTTTCACGTCCTAACATGCACGCCAAGTTGACCAACTTCAAGCGAAATGGTTTGCCTCAATCTTACTGCAATACAGCGTTCGTCAAAATCTCTGATATTGTGCACCAAGCGATTTTGGTGCTTCCTGCACCACGACCGACCAATACAAGGAAGCGGAAGAGAACAAAGACGTCCGGTCGCATACTTACTCGTGAAAGACTGGAGAAAGAGACTGAAGTGCGGAAGACGAAGCCTTCGCGACGCAAGAAACCTGTAGGACGACACAAAATTGCAGTTGAGGCACTGCCGCCCTTGTTGGAGGCAGCCTCAACAGGAAGCCTGGATCTAGTGGTCCTGTAGAAACAAATAAACCAATTTATGTCATACACTTTCACCTGTGAAGAGTACCTTTTTTCCAACATGCCTGGCACCTGTACCGCACTTTCTCGTGAACAAATGTATACTTTAATTAAGTCAAGGAGGCCACTAAACTGGCAAGACCACACATTTGTGAAATCGGAAAGAAAGCTTTATAAAAACGTTTCACCTGCTGTCATTGATTTGTTAAAAACTTAAAAAATCGGCCTGTTACTCCTAATTTCAACGCTACTTCATATGTGTCAGTTGAAATATTAGATGCCGAGTTATCGCATTTTGTGAAAGCACTCAGTCGAGGCTATTAAACTGGCGCTTTGCCTTAAACATATCGTGTGGCATTTGTATTAACGTTATTAGAAGTGCACGTGGTTCTGGGTGAAAGATGAAGATACAGTGATAATTAACAGCAGTAAAGAGGTTGTAGTTAGAAATCACCATTAGTAAGAAATATTTTTAATGCATGATGCTGACCCAGATTAATAAAATTAAAGTATCGAGGCGCCATTGAGCTTAGCGTTTATTTCTAATATTTATCCTGCCGAAGCGTAGCGGAGGCGGGAAGGCCAAAGCATGAAGAAATAAACCGAATTTACCGCCGCGTAGCGGCGGCGCTCGGCTAGTGTCATAACTAAGGGAATTCGGTATGCTTGGCTTGAAATAAGAACGAGTAGTTTTTAAGTAAAAATTGTGCTCCAGCCTCAGCACCATTATTAGTCATGGCATGACTAATTAGAGTGAACGGTGTATCACTTTTGTAATACACAATACCGTTGGAGGTGCTCTAACAAGTCCTGAAGTAAGGCGTAGTTAGCATTATTTGTTTTATTTGAGATAAAATTTAAACTCAACATGTTTACAGTTGCAACGGAAAAAAATAATCCTTTTCAAATTATATTAGAGCCTACCCAACAAAATACCCCCTCTATGCCGATCACTTTTTGGATTTCGAATCTCCAGACTGGCTCCCGCTCCCAGCTTTCATTTTGAAAGCTGGGAGCGGGAGCCAGTCTCGAGACAGTGAGCGCCAGGCCGTCGAAGAGACCTTACTGCTTCGCAGCGTGGGAGGAGTGCTCAAACGTGGAGAGATCGTTCGGGTTGCAGCTTACTTCCGTGTGGGCCGCCAAGTTGTCGAACGAATTTGGAGGCGTGGAATCAATTCAATCGGAGATGGAGCAGCAGCCGTGGTCAAGTCAAGGAAGAGCGCATGTGGTAGGAAGAAGGTGGATCGAGCTGAGCTGTGCGAGAGAATCGCTGCAGTTCCTGTCAATGAGCGCGAAAACCAGCGTCTGCTTCAGCGCGCGTCCAACATGAGCTGCTACCTGGTTCAGCAGCTGATCAAGGAAGGCTACATACGGCGTGCGCTCAGACAGACCCGTCCACTACTTACACCCACGCACAAGTTGGCGCGCCTCCGGCACAAGGACAAGCAAGTACGAGCTGGCACTCTCCCTACGTCACTGCCTTGTGACGCTATCTCACTCGCCAATGTTAACGCGTACATGCTGCTTCTTGCAGCGAGCAGCCCCCCCACCGCCTACCGCTGAAGTTCCAGAAGCCCCACTGAGCGCTCCTTCAGAATGTGGCGATGTAGTTGCCGTCTTAGATCCGTTTTTGTATCTGTAGTTGCACGGCGGAGCATGAACGCCTGTGCCTTGCTTAGTTTCTCACTGTCAGCTCTCGGTCATAAAGCTAGCTAGCCAGCCTCTCACAAGTTAATAAACGCTCAAATGAACGAGGCGGAGCGCTGCGCAAAAAAAAAACAAATCGTTATCTTTTTCCGAGCGGAAGTCCGTAGTACTACAGTAGTACTTCGAGGCTGTGCGAATACGGTAAAGCGCATTGAAACTCGTCATTAGAGTAGAAGCTATCGCCAGTTTAGTGAGCGGTTAATTCCTTAACCGTTAAGTTAACCGACCGGAGAAGTACTACACGTATTACTACGTGGTACTATAATACCAAAGTACGCTGTACTGTTATATCAATCCCTGCTCACAATATTTCACGCACGTCAGGTTTTGTTTTGTGGGAGAATAAATTTATTCTCAATTCCGTATTAAGTATTAATAATACTACAGCACATGTACCCTCACTACCGTTGCGCGCACCCATTGCGCGAGTCAGCTCGGTAGTAAGTAAACGTACCAGCAAATATGCCTGCGGTCACTAAAGAGCGAGGACGCCTTCCATCGGCTTCTTTCTCTTCTCGCTCCAGCGAGCCGCTACTTCTGCAAGAGACACCAATCCTTACACCGTGCGGCTGGCGCGGATCGAGCGCTGCGTGTTCGTCACCACAGAGTGCGTCATCGTGGGGTGGCCCGCGTTTATGCGCTCCGTGAACGCCTTGCTCGCGTACGTGTTCTTCGTCAGGATGTAGTTGACCGTGAACTTGATCAGGTCAAGCGGGAACTGCCACACGATAGCCCACAGCCAGGCAATCAAAGTGTAGCCGCCGCCGCAGCCGATCACGGCGATACGGTCCGTCGGGTAACCACCGAAACCAATCCAGCCGATCACCGAAGCAACCACCTGGGCGAACACGAAGGCGATCAGCAGCAGGTTGCACGGCTTCTCCGCGAAGAACCAGTTGTTGCTGCCGGCCGTACGCGTCACGAAGATCAAAGCCTGGCCGGAGATAGACACCTGCAGGTACACCAACGAGCGGAGCACACCCTCCTTGCGCTGGATGCCAGGACCGATCATCTCGTTGTCGCGAGTCCACGTAGAGTTCCAGTTGCTAAAGCCCCACACGTAGTCACAAAAGCTGACCTCGTTCGTGAGGGGCACTTCGTCCTTACCAATGAAGGTGACGCCCTTGCCCAGCTGAGCAGCGTTGAACACGTCGTAGTCGCCCTCATACGCCTCACCGCCAGCACCCAGAGTGTACGTGTACACGAACTGGTTGTACGCAGCCTCAGCCGACGGCTTGGCGTCGTTCGGCAGCCAATTCAGGTGCACGTCCGCAAGGTCCTCGAACAGTTTCGAACGCGAGTCGTACTTGTCCTGGTACTGCGTCCAGTACGCGTTGATGGCGCTCTCACGGAAAGAACCCACGTCCGACACACTGGCAGCCTGCGGCACGCTACCCGTCATCTCACCGCAGCCAGTCGCGTTGTTGTCCATCACGCACGTCTGGTACTGGTCCTGGAAGAAGTCGTGGCATTCATCCTTCATGCAGCCCACGCACAGGTTCTCCACACCAGTGCTCTCGAACCCACTCGAGTTGTTGACGACCGCGAACAGCACGATCGTAGACAGAGTCAGCCACAGACCGAACGTGATCGACGAAATGAAAACCTCCTTCAGCTTCCACGAGTCCGGGTGCGGCGAGGCAACCACGTTGTCCTTCGAGATCGTCAGGATGGTACCGTCGTTCAGGATGGCCAGGATCACCACAAGAATCGGAGGGAAGTACCAGTTCCACGCCACCGTCAGGATTCCGAAAGTGAACACGATACGCACAGTCATGGCGATCGAGTACATGGCGTAGTTCTTCATACGCAGGAAGATCTCACGACTCATGCGGATGGCCGTGATGATCACACTCAGACCGGGGGAAACAAGCACAATATCGGCGGCAGCACGGGCGGCGTCCGTCGCATCATCCACAGCAATACCAATGTCGGCCTGAGCCAGGGCCGGAGCGTCGTTCACGCCGTCACCGGTCATACCAACCACCTTGTCCAAAGACTGCAGGTGTTTGACAATCTCGAACTTGTGCTCCGGGAACACCTGAGCAAAGCCATCCGTGTCGTAGATCATTTGAGCCAGGTTCAGTCCAGGAGGCGGCGCAGTGTTGAAGAAAGAAGTGTCAAGGATGTTGGTCGGCATTCCCAGCTGACGGCACGTCTCCACGGCAATAGCCTTTTGGTCGCCCGTCACCATCTTCACAGCAATACCCAGAGCAATAGCCTTCTTCACCGTGTCGGCCGTATCGTGGCGAGGGGGGTCGAACAACGGCAGCAGACCAATCATCTGCCACTCGCACTCCTCCACCGGCACGTCACCGCTGCGAGAGATACCCACACCAAGGCCACGGTAGCCGCGGGAAGCGAACTCGTCGATGCGGTCCTCAACTTCCACGCGCAGAGTGTCAGCGTTCACGTCCATGTCGAGCACCACCTGCGGGGCACCCTTGACGGCACGGAGGATCTCGCCTGTCTTGTTGTCCTTCAGCTTGGCAATCGTGCGCTTCGTCGTGGGGTCGAACGGCGTGTAGTGCAGAAGAGTGTACTCTTGCCACATCGTGTCCTTGCCCGGGTACGAGTTGTG